CCCCAAAACCCCAAAACCCCAAAACCCCAAAACCCCATAAGTTGTTATTTGATTGGATTGATATAATTTTTTGAAATATTTATAGATAAATTCATTAAAAAGGCATCTTGACAAAATTAATGGTTTAAAAATCAATCTGTTAAATTTCCGCACAGCTCAAGAGATCTCCCTACTATAGCTCCATTCAAAGCTAAAATTGTATTCATTAATCCCTAATTTTTTAGAGTCATTAATCCAGAATAATAATGTTCGATCTCAAAAGAATCTAGTCGCTAATTTGAATTCAATAGGCAGTGACATCATAGGCTCGCAAAAATCTCGCAATCATTAGGAAACATAGAAATATTATCATACCTAAGCAAAGCAAATCAAATGTATAAAATATATAGGATTTATGCAATTTCATAGCAAGAGATATGCTAAGTCCTAGCAGTATACTAACTGGGGTTACAATGTCCAAGGACGGTGGATAATCTAATCATTCATATGCAGCAATTGCAAAAGAAGTATATTAAACAGGCTAAAAAGAAGGTTGGTCGACTAAACAAATAATGAGCATGCTCTAAGATCCAAAAAAATTCTAGCAACTAAAAGAAAAGGTATTAACTTCTAAAAATTATCCATTACTTTGTAGAAAAGTTCAAGCAGGAATTATCAGAGTCAAACTGAGGTTGTTAATAGGCTCATTGGAGATCATTAAAAAAGATAACAAAAATAGGCAGAAATCTTAGCCATTAAAGAGTCATCTGAAAACAAAGATGAAACATTCAAGTAAAGAAGACTTACCCATGTTAGAAGTGTAGATTAATTCTTTCTAGATTAGCTAGAGTTTGAGGCTAGGAAAAAAGAAAAACTTAGAAGGGTATAAATTAATAACCGAAATAAATTTTAATACAGATTGCAGAGGAGGATTATGAAAGATAAGTTTAAAATTTAGAGTTATCTAAAAAAACCATTAAATTTGCAGAGACATGCAGGCTGTAAAGCCCAGATTTTATTTAGGAAAAAGAAATCCATGAGAGACTTTATCTGGAACATAAAGTATTGAAGGAATCACGAAAATTACGGACATAATTGGTATCTAGAAGCAGGAGTAAATCGAGAGAAAAACACCATGTTTCAGTGAAGAATGTAGTTCGAAGAGTATACAATTAAGCTATATAATAAAAATCTGAGGTTCTAGAGTAGGCAAGGAAAAAAAATGAGTTTGAGAGGAATAGTGAGTCTTTACTTAATCAAGAAATGAATGAAAAAATAACATCTAACTCTTTAAAGATGATTGAACAGAGACTAAAATAAGATTTGGAAAAGGTCATGAAAGCAAGATAGCTTACAAATGATAGCTTGATAGAATTAGATGAAATGAGAGAAATCTTAATTCTCTTGGGCTTTTGTAATAGACAATAAAGACAATAATCTGATGTGAGACTTGTAAATGATCTAGGAATAACACTAATTCCAAATGAAATTAAACCTAATAATCTGCTAGAATATAAAATTTTAATGGCTAATCTAAGAGATTGTATATGGGCCATTATGAAAATTGATTAATAAAAAAACTAAGAATCACAATAATATGATTCATAGACAAGTTCAGCAAAGCAAACTTATTATTCTAATCATAATAGCAAGGCTAAAATATTCAGCTTTGATAAAAGAGGTAGGGTCATTTTAACTGCTAAGGATGTAATATGGATGTCTCAGTATTTTTAGCAACTTGCAAGTAATAGAAAAGATTTTGTTAATTAGACAAGAGCTCAACTCAGAATGTTTAGAGGTAATTAAATATAGTATAAACTTAAAATCATAGCAACATCAGCTGAGCAGGCAAACAGATTTAGGCCTAATATAAGTCCAAACTCTCAAAAGATAGCATCAGTCAAACTTTAATAAAAACTTAGGGTAATATCCAGCTATAAATTAATAAATTTTCATTAGGAATTCTCTGGAAATCATCATGATCTGCTACTAAGTTTAGGGTAATAGATGAAAATTAAAAAGGAAATAATCCGTTTGGAATCGGAAAGATTAGAGCAATAGGCATGCATCTTTTAACCTTAGTTGGTGACCAACTAAGTAAACCTTTCAAGGTCTAGATAAGATTAATCTATTACTGATCAGATAGATGGCAAGAATCTTCCTAAGTGTGAAGTTCTCTACCTTTAAGGGTTGAAAAAGTAGAAATCACCTGATAGATCCATAGATGAGATACAAATAGAAAAGGAGCCAAATGAATATACATTCAGGCCAAACTTAAAACTGTTTCAAAACGCAAAGCATGATCATTCACGATTTTAGAACAGACCTCCAAGTTGTAAAAATTAAGCTTAAGGACCTAAATTAAAAGTGGAATCTTAATTCATAAGAGAAAAAACTGATGTCGAATCTGAAAGTCGTAATTAATTTCCATTCATTGATATTTAGCATCTGAAGAAGCTAGTGATGCTCCACTCTTGTTTATTGATATTAACATTGGTAATGGCTTAAAACCCAGGATTGTACTCTACAGTCATGATGATCCTAAGCAGGTAGCAGCTCAGTTTGCAAGAAAGTATTGTAAGCATTTCTGATATGAAAAAAAATAAACTTTTACTTAGAACTTGATGCTGATATGAGAAAAAAGTTAGTAATTTTACTAAAAAATCATGTTTCAAATGCCCTGACATCAATAAATGAAGGAAATGAGACGTTTGAAGAATGATTTGAAAGTGTTTATTTTGACTTTCAAGGTTGTTTGATAGAGAGTAGATTGATGAATAAATAAGATTGATAGATTATTAATTTATTAGTAAGAATAATAGACTTTCTAATTTAATAATATTTCTCTAAAAGATTTTTGAAAATGGTTCTCGCATTATTAATCGCTGAACTCAGCCCAGAAGACAAAGGTATTCATCCAACAAGATTTGCCAATCCGATTTTAACATTATATTCTTTATAGCTCAAGCTACCTTCTTCGGATATATCGGTATTGCCGCTGCTCTAGTGTTCTCAAGTAATTAATTGTTTGATTTAACGACCCTTGATAGATTTGGGAGCCTCATACGGAACTGCTAAGAGTGGAGTAGGTATTTCAAGCATGGGAGTCTTGAAGCCAGAATTGATCTTCAAGTCAATTGTACCAATTATTATGGCTGGTATCTTGGGTATTTATGGTCTTATCGTCTCAGTCATTCTCTAACAAAAAAGTAAGATCAGTCCTTATTAAATAGATGCCAAACACGCATCCATTATATTCACCTACTTTACCTTACGCTATAGTTACTGTTGGTTCATATTCCTATGACCAAGGTTACAAGCATTTAGCCTCAGGACTTTGTTGCGGTCTCTCTTCTCTCGTAAGATATATTTGTCCTAGCTAATGTCGTTATTTAGGCTGCCGGTCTAGCTATCGGAATCGTTGGTGATGCAGGAGTCAGAGCAAATGCTCAACAAGAACAAATCTTCGTCGGTATGATCCTCATTCTCATTTTCGCTGAAGCCCTCGGACTTTATGGTTTGATTATCGCCATTATTCTCTCACAGTGAGGCTCGCTCCTCTCTGAGAGTATTCATCAAGATAAACCCTAATTATTCAAACGTTTAAATATTACTGCCAATACACTTATTTATTTATATTCTAATATATTCCCAAGACTATACCTCTCACTGCGTCTAACTCAACCTTAAGGGGTTTTGGGGTTTTGGGGTTTTGGGGTTTTGGGGTTTATCTTGATG